ATCACACGACCTTATACAAGAAAAAGTCGTATCAATTGTTTGGCTATTCTGAGTGTTAAGTGGATGAATGACGTTAGTATCTATTGCGACCAATACATTTGACCATTTTTTGCACTCTTCCATTCAATATTTGTTTGTATATAACCCATAAAACAGCCTATTTCAAACATCACGAACAAATTATTAATTTTTGTTATGCGCGAACATCCAAAACTCCTGACGAGACACCTTCTCCTAAATGATGAAAATCTGCAACATGCTTCTGCAACAACTTTCATTGGCATTTTCCAGTAACTCTTTTATACAACACTGAAAATGGATCAATATTTATGTCGTATTTTCATTTAAATACTCTAATTTTCCTTGAAATTTTTAAAAGCAATCTGTCTGGAATTGTTTTTCTCATCATCACGCTTTCTTTTGATTCTTAGTATTGTTTTTGTTTTCTTCTTTTCCGCCTGTCAATGTCAAAGTCTTGTTAGCCATTATTACGTATGGGGGATATATGGACGTAGAATAATTTCGAATGAAATAATGTATGGATCATGTAAACTGCGGTAGGATAAATATATGCCCATACAGCACTTCAACTTTCAAAAGAGAAATCGAGGTATTTTTCTTCATCTCATTCATTTATTTATTAGAACTTGGAGGAAAAGTATGGTTGATTACATTTATAAGTATGAATTAACATGATCATGAATTATACGGTTAAAAAAGATATATATGTAATTATCTTGAAACAACGCTGTGTACTTGACTTGATGTACGCAAGGGTTTTTCGTTACGTTTACTTGACTTGATGTACGCAAGGGTTTTTCGTTACGTTTACTTGACTTGATGTACGCAAGGGTTTTTCGTTACGTTTACTTGACTTGATGTAAGCAAGGGTTTTTCGTTACGGTTTTAAGCTTTGACAAAACCGTGCAAAATGATGAATTTAAAAAAATAGCGAAAATCCACTACCTAGATAAATCCTATCCCCTTATTCAGGAGAAAGTGGGAAAAGTGGTGATAATGTAAGCGCACTCCATCGAATGTCTGAGGTAGTGAACCCCCACTAGATGGTGTTGTATACGAAACAAAACACGATGCTTATCATATATATAAGGGTTGAGTATTGCAATGTTACCAGACACACTTACAGCCGTTACCTCGTGATCAGCAGTTTAAGATGAATATTTCAGGATATCCGCGGACCCCCCTTTAACTGAGGTAATTACTGTGCGATACGACCATATGGTCTTCAAAGTTCATTCCCACCTTATACTCTTTTATGTTGAAGATTTACAAGATCACACGTAACAGAAAATACAAATTCGAATGATTTGGTTAAAATATATCAAGCATCATATATATTTTAATGAGTTATGCTAATTTAGACTAACCTATTTCTGTTTTACCCAACGCCAATATACAAAATACATATGTAAATATTCGTAGTAATGAAAGAATGTAAAGAGAAAGATAAAGATAGCGGGTGTTTTTGATTAGTATTTGGGAGACAGATTATTTGTTTTGTCTATTAGAAGACATAAACACAGCAGAATACAAGAGATTAATGCTCAAATATATAGGCACGAAAGCCAAAAGGAAGTGGCATCAAATTTTTTACTGCACCGGTAGTCTGACCATGAAATCGCCTAAATGCGGTCACGGGAAGGCAAAATGCGCATTTCAAAGAAATTGCACAACAATAAAGCGACTTTTCCACAAAAAAAAAATGTATAACAAGAACCAGGACAACAACATAATACCAAAACGACCCATTTGCAGCTCGCCAACTACGAGTGGATGGTAGGCGTCGAACATGGCAATTTCAGTTGGATTACTAACAGACAACTTGCGTTTTGGATGTCCATTTGCGATGTTCAGCTATGCTATCAACAGATGTTATACTTTTAGTCTAGTTGTTTCTTAGAAATTAGAAATTTCAATTTCTCATTCTAACTTTGAGGTACAAAAATTTCAGTAATGTGGTAAACATATGAGCTTAGGCCGCACTTTGTCAAAAAATCTGCACGAAATCTGATGGATTTTTAAAACGCATCAACTGCAACTCCAACCTCCCTCACACCTGTAAAATCCAAGTGTGTATACAATAGTCAGTGATTTGAGACCGATTAATTCACGTAATGAGGAAAACTTCAAATAACTCATTACAGAATTAGCACCCAGAGACGGAATGCACAGCTGACAATTAAGAAATATTGAAGAGAAATCTTTAAACTGTAAGAAGGAAATGAGGAAAGTTCTGAAGCATATGAAATGTGCTCCATTACTGACGGATCGATGGTGCAATGCAAAAAATGCTCTCGCTACCTAAATGAAGATTTTAAACTCATAAATCTTGTGCTGGACAAGTAGTAGGTCAGTAATATACATTCAGTATTAAATATTGCGGTGTGATCGAAGGTTGTCAATGAAGAGCAAGGGATGTCATCTCAACAAACTGTACCTATTACTACGGATATTGGTGCCAATATCAGAACTGCTTGTGCCCAACTGAAAGAAAAAACGCATGGCTGGATTCAGCACACAGAGTTTGCGACTGTGTAGCAGGCATTAGAGATTCCATAAAACTAAATCTGCAATTGGTAAGTGAGAATATGAATATTTTATCATACCAGTCCTTTCAGACCTGGCTGTCAGTCAGTAGGTAGTTTATTTATACAAATGCCGAAAATATATATTGACATACAGAATAAGGTAAGATGAAACAATGCACTATCACTCCTTAGTACAAGGGTCTCCAACTCAAAACAGGTCGCGGGACACTTTTTGAAAGTTATTGACCACGCGGGCTGCAAAAAAATTTTCTCTCATTTTTATTATGGACACTAGGTGGTGTTTCAGAAAAAAAGTTTTCAATATCTTTTTCTCGCAATCATGCCAGTCTTGCGATAATCGTTCAATTTCATGAGCGTAGTACATTCATATTCGGTTAATTAATTGGAGTGAATAATATCCCAAATATGATACTAATAATTATCCCCATGCTTTATAACACGCATCAGTCGAAACATAACTTAATTGAGCCAACTTGGCTGTATATTCTGACCAATAATCTGGCATCTGTAGAATCTCCCGCACGCCGCTCTCTTCTTTTAGTTGTTTGAGTGAGCGCACATCCGTCGTTTATTTCTTGAAATTTGCTATTTTGTAAGTTATGCTTTCATGTTTGGTTTTATTTATGTAGTCAATATTTGGAGTGATGTTCATAAATTAGATTAAATTGTGTGTAATACTGGAATAAACTGACTCATCGATGTTCATTACTACTGCTATGACGCAATAAAGTCAAAGCAACAAATGTCGTATGAACTATTTGGAATCGGGCATTTCAAGTATTTCCGGTGTTACCGCACATAAGATCACACCATATCACTCCACATCATAGTTAGGTGATAGCACCGTTTATTACCTACATGTTGGATTTAATCTAAATTAACTTGTGCAACACTACTGAACTAGACTATGGCATCTACATCATGGCAAGTGATGAACCTACGCAAACATTTAGGCAACAATGTGAAATACATTCTCAAGATGTGGCAGAACTATGTCACAAGCTGTCAACACTTCTATCTGATATTAACAACAATGTACTCGTCGTAAAAGTCGAAGAAATTTTGAACATTGCATTAAATTCACGGCAATATTGTTGCAAAAATATATTTCTCCTGGAGCTGATGGTGCATCTGTCCAAATACATCAGAAGAAATTGAAACGTCTAAATTACAACTGGAAAGGGCTGAAAAAACTCAAAAGCTGTGGGACATCAAATACCAAAGCTATTTAGAGTCTTGTGTGACATCAAGTCAAGGTAAATCACACAAAAGCAGAACATCTCCTAAATCTCGACATTCGCATGAATTTATTTCATCAACGTCATCAGTTTCAACTCTAGCAAACGCACGATTGACTGAACTTGAAGCCTCCGAAAAAGTAGAGCAAGCACATGCTCAGTTAGCTCAACCCATGCTGCATGCAGAATTCAATCAACAAAAAGCAAAGTTTCAGGCTGAATTTAATCAACGCCAAACGGAACAGCAAGCCGAATTTAAGCAACGTCAAGCTGAATTACAGCTCGAAATATTCTGAAAAAATGCCCAGCTACAGAAGGAACAAGTTTAAATTATAGCTACTGCAAGGAGTGTCCGATCTTCAAGACATAGCTTCCGTGGTTCACAAACTACTAGCATCTCACCACCACCTGTGGTACAAATTAGAGACTACTCTGTGGATTCTATCTCGGTTACACAAAGTGTTTTCATGCACCCTGCATTTAACTGTGTTACGACTGCTGACAAGCCAACCCATATAACCACTCACCCGAGTGAATCAATATTGTCTATGGGCCCGGCAATTGCAACAAGCTTAAGTCATTTGCATTCCCATCAACCCATGCTTTCTAGCTCTCCAGCTTCCCTTGCAAAACTGGAAGACAATGGCTTCCCTCAAAGCACTAGCGGAATGCAAATATACACAAGCTCAGCAGCTATCAACAGTCAGTCACAGCTAAATTCACTCACAATAAATTTTTATCCACAAGTTAGTATGTCTGTGAATACACCTGAACAATTGCAGAGCCATTCCAACAGGCCTGTGATGTCAACACTACCACGACAAGAATATCCTTCGTACAACTTAAACCGTCCAGCTACTAATGTTCAACCAAGCAAAGCAGCAAGATGATTTATTTGCATTAATGCAAACAGTGCATCAAGGGCTCACTTTGCCCAAGCTGGATCCAATTACATTTGATGGCAATCCTGAGTATTATCATTCATTCATCCAGGCTTTGAAAACATGGTTGACGGACATCCATATCCGCCTGACGTAAAGTTGGCGCAGCTCCTTCAATGTGTAAAGGAAAAGCGAAAGACGCAATCAAGCACCTGGTTGTAATAACTTCTGCAGCAAAAGGATATGGCATGGCAAGAAAAACTTTGGAACTAAGATTCGGAAATCAAACTTTGGTAATTTAAGCGAACATAATGCAGCTCACTGCTGGTTCTCAGTTAAAGGCTAATGATGCTGAAGCACTTCATGACCTTGCTGTGAAGATGAGAAATTGCTATGTTACACTTTCTCATTGGAAAAAGGAACACATGCTTGATGCACAATCGTATCTTCGAGACATCTTTGATCGATTGTCATATCATTTACAAATGGACTATCTCAGGGATGAATCACGGAAAAATGGTCCAATTCCATCCTACATGCATTTACTAGAATATGTTGAAAAAATAGCTCACCTGAGCAACACATTTTATGGTCTACTCATGACCGAACACTATGTCAAAAGTAGGCAGCCTGTTAACACTAGACCTCGCTCAGCTAAAACATACACAACTACAAGTTCTACAATTGCAACTACAAGGGAAAAGAAAAGTGACAACAAATCCACCAAGAATACTCAAATTCGATGTCTATGTTGCGGTGATTCACACTTTTTGTATCACTGCACGAAGTTCAAAGATAAAGATACCAAACAGAGTAGAGACTCCGTTCGAGAATACAAGGCATGCTTCAACTGTTTGCATGCAGGACACAGCGTGAAGGATTGCAGGTCTACATATACATGTCAAGTTAACAACTGTAGAAAGAAACATCACTCACTTCTTCATGATGACACACTGTCTTCTCAAAAACTCGTTAATTCTAATGCAAAATCCAGTGACTCAAATGTACTACAGAGTTTTCTGTCGCTGACAAGAAAGCATTGAGCATTATGGCAAATACAGTGAAAACGGTAAATGGTAGGTATCAAATTGCTTTACCCTGGGTATCTGATAATGTAACCCTTCCTAATAATAGTTTTTGTTAGCAGAAAAAAGGCTAGTGTATTTCAAGCGAAAATTCCTGAAAGACTCTTTCTCAAAACTACAAAGATAAAATAAATGATAACATCTAGAATGGTTATGCAGAATACATACCCATACATGAATTGTAACACAGTAATAGAACATCATTTGTACCACATCACTATACTGGCCAAAATGTTAGGGTGGTATTTGATTGTTCAGCTGAGTTTCAAGGCACTTGTTTAAATAACAACTTGTTATCAGGTCCTTTCAATACTAATACATAGGTTGGTGTTCTCTTGCGTTTCCGCCAGGAACCCGTTTCTGTAATTTGTGACATCCTTGAAATGTTTCATAGGATTCGGTTAAATCCATCAGATTGTGATTCCATGCGATTTCTATGGTGACCCAATGACGATTTATCTCGAGACCCTGTTGAGCTAAAATGTTGAGTCATATATTTGGTTGTAAGAGTTCTCCATGTGTTGCTACATTTGCGCTACGAAAAGTAGTTGATGATAATTTATCCAATGCTGACTCTGTCACTATTGAAGCTGTTAATCGTAATTTTTTTCGTGATTGATTGTTTGAACAGTTTGCCTACTGCTGACCAAATCGTCAGTTTGATATCTCAACTACGTAAGCCATTAGATACATGTGGTTTTGATCTTGCTAAGTTTATAAGCAACGACCAAGTTTTGTTAGATTCAATACCCGATGAAAATAAAGCTTCATCTATGGTAGATTTTGACATTCAAGGTGATTCCTCAAATAAGACGCTCGGTGTGCATTGGCGCATCGATGCTGACAAATTTGTAATACGTATAGATGTAGAACCTAGTTCTTCAACACGAAGAGTCTGTCAATGGTAAATCAAGTATTTGACCCATTAGGATTTATCCAGCCATTTATCCTGCCTGCTAAACTTATTCTTCGTGAGTTATGCGATGAAGGTTATTCCTGGAACGATGGCATTTCTAGCCCACTTAAAGAAAGTTGGGAGAATTGGATCGCTTCATTATCAAACTTAAATGATTTGTCCATTCCTCGTTGTTTCAAGCCAGCTGACCCACTGAGATACAGTTGCATTTGTTCTGTGACGCTAGCAGAGTTGGTTATGGTTGTTTGAGTTATTTGCGTATGATTGATGCAGCTAATAACATTCATTTAAATTTTAGCCTAAAGTATGAAAAGTACATGCATGTAGAAATATTTTTTAACGTTAATTAAATCATCTATGGATTCGTACGATTAAATAAAATACGATAAAAAATCAACTTAGATCCAATTTGAATTAACAACTTCTAACTTTAACGTTTTCTGTTACTCATCCAATCGCGCATAGATTATGGATGGTTTTAAATCGAGTTTTTTACATTTATCATATTTTTCATATTCAAACCTTGGCTACAATTTGATTTGAATTTGACAGATGGAAAAGTCAAAACAAAACTAAATGTCAGACAAGAGCGTGATCAAGGAGAAATTTCCAGACGTAAATGACTTTGTATGCAATAGCAAAAACTTGAAAATATAACTGGAATTCCTGTTCAATTTCTGTTATGCTTTATCATCATTGTTATATTGGTATTCTCCCTACAGTGCCAGAATATTTTATATTGGATGTTTGACGTGAATGTAGAAACGCGTTATAGTTCAGAAACAATACAAAAATACCATGACTTAGTGAGGAGCCATTTTAATAGCTCTGGATCTTGTCACCTGCATCTTTCGCAACTTGAACACAGTATTCTGTTTAATTGTTAGATTCGAATGTACAAGAAACTTCGGTTTATTAAAATATCAAAAAAAAAAATGTGCGAAAGGGTTTTAATGTCACAGAAGGTTTTGCCAATGCTATAAAACAGGACAAAAACTAAACGTACAATAAATACAAAGTACATAATATGTCGTTATAGCATTTGTAATGTTGAAACTTCTTCCAAAAGTTGATACATTTTTGTTTTATTGACTATATATCAGTATTGCATAAACCCTACCTAGACTACTCACACACGCTTTTTGGAGATCCGCATTTACTTCTATAAAAAAGAAAATGTAACAAACCTTTCAGCAATCACCGAGGAATTATAATTTGTACTTTCCATTATTCAATCAATATCGATTGTAAAAATTCTCTTAAAATTCAAGATTGAATTGATGTCAAAAATACCAAAGCGTTAAAGCAAGTTGTTCAATTAGACTGATAGCGACACAAGTAATTTTATGGTTGTTTTTTAAAATTTGGCTTATTCAAAATTTGTATATGTACGATTTCTATAGTGTCAATAGATCAATAGGATATTTTCCGTTAAATTAAATATAGAAGAGCACGTTGAAAGGAAACAGCGCCATAAAGTATAGACAATAAAAATTTTCAACAATAGGACAAATGTTAGGTAAAAAGTGGTTTGATTAAATTTCAAATTTAACTCACACCAATTCCATTTCTATGCTGCAAAAGAAAAGATTCGAAAAGGCGACTTCTTCTAAATTATGGAAATTGTTTGTTACTGTATTAATTTCTGCATGCAGATCAAATCATACAATGTATTACAAATTGTTCAAACGTTATACAGACATTCTACAGCATTTCAGTCATGCCATCACATCACCACAGTCAAATATAGCTATGCTTCATTCAAGCTGCAAAATGAAAGGTCCAAAAATTTAAAAGGTATTGTTCATTATGGCGGGAATAATGCTCCAGAAATATATATATATTAGTACTCATGTTAAAAACAATTTGGTTTCTATGTTACGGTTTTGTCTGAACCTTAGATTGTTTTTCTTACCTCGACTTTTCAAAGGCATGAAATCCAGCAATATAATAAGGTCGAAGCTTGTATTGATAAACCAATTTTTCTGTCATCGTCATGCAGTGAGATCTAACTTGACCGGAAAATTAGGCCAACGCAATAAGGAGGGCCAAGTGGTTATTAATTGCACAACTCAGACGACTCTGAATAAATCGATTTTAAAGGGGAAATAGTTACTCGTGCATTAGTCCTCGTCCGGGCCGAAAGGTGCATAAAAGTCGTACAAAAACTTTCCTCCATTAGTCTTAATAGGTTATTCAATACATAATAATGTTTAACATCATTGTTTGTATTTACGTTCTACCTGGTGATTTTGCATGTTTTATTCTACCTGGTGAAATTCATATATTTAAATCAGAAATGGACTTGTGTATTCTGAAAACAATATGCATGCAATCATAATACTCCATGTAATTTTGAGAAATTGGTGTATCAGAAGAAAATTATTATAGGGTGTTGATATATTTTTTAAAATAATGCCCTTTTTCTTTCTCAACAGAATACTTTGATAAATCTTTATAAATCACTGATCCGGGTTCGCGTTTTTCAATACTGGCAAAAGTATTCAATTCGGCGTTGATATTCGATTACCCACAGCTCTCGCTATAAGAAAACTTGCCTGCACAGAAAATTATTTTAAAACGTCCGAGTGCAATTTCCTCATTCCAGTCCATAACACTTAATTCCGGTTCAAATCTCTCTGCTACCGTTAAATGCTTCCTGCAGGTAAAACAATTGATAACTGCAGCTCGTGTGCTTTTATTATGAGGTTGGAAAAATGAATAGGGTTGTAATACAGATCTGACTGAGTTTGGAGGAATTAGGGAGGTAGTTAATCATCGTTTGATTCAAAGTCCGTAAATGTTCAGACAGTTGATTCAGGTCAAAAAAGTTAGCTTGTATTATTTTCAGGCAATCTGATATAGATATAGTACCTAATAGTTCATAAACGAAATTCTCACAATCAGAATTGACAAAAATTCAGACAAAGCTGCAGTTGCAATCTAGTTCCAGTTGCAATCAATTTTTTTTAAAAAAAGACAACTTTGAAATCAACAGAGGATCAACAATGAAAATTACCAATTTCTTACAATTTATGATTAGGCTTCTGTTCGTTATTTTTCTGTCCTTCCGACAAGTCAATGCAAAAACGCCATTCGACTGATCCATTCCGTAACAATAGTGTTAAAAACAAAAACTTGTTTGAATGCTGTCAGGCCTATATGATACAGTGTCCCAATTCAATGCAATAAGTACTGCCTAAACCCCCAAAAAGTGAATTGTGAGGTCTGGGTTATGACTTTGTTTATACTGTTTGCAATACTGTAGAATTGTTTATTGTTACATATTCACGATGATCTGTAACTCTAAATTGAATTTGTTTGCTTGATTCCTTTTATAAATTGAACGTTTCCAATTTATTCATTCAAATCAGGGGTCACCAAACTTTTTTGACCGCGGGCCGGGTATGACTCAAATTGTGTTGAAACGGGCCGGATGAATATTTTTGTCAATGCAATACAATAAATTCACAAATGTTGGGAATATCGAAGAATATAGATCGAGAACATCTTAGGAAAAAAATTAACAAGATTTCTATATCTAGACAATTATCCTGAGTTTAGCTGTTATCAAAACGTTGCTGTCATGAATTAGAAATGTTACAAAATCCGCGGCAAAAAATGTACGCATCACGTCTGCTCGTAAATATATACTACTACGGTCTGCTAAGTACCGTTACGCCGAGTTGAAATACCTCTCATAAAAACGATTGATTACCTGCTGTAGCTTGGAATTCTATGAAATTTTGACATAATTAAGATAAAATAAACAACTATTATCTGGTATTTGATTTTTTTCATTAGCGTATAAATTTCCCAACATTCGACGCTTTTAAAAATTACGCTCCAGTTATACGTAGTGCAAATTATTGATATTGTCTATGGAAACCAATAAAAGGTATGTGGACGTGTGTATTTCTTTCTTAACTTGATACAATTTTTATGAAGTTTGTACAATCAGCACATCGTTAATTATTACCTACAATGAACCACTGTCAACTATCATGCACAACTCCAGCGTTTATTTGCGACGATCTTTCGG